AAAAAAAAAGAAATGTGCAGATGCCAGTATTCACAGTAATGCTTCATAAGACGGCTCTAATTTGTGGGAGAGATGTTGACAGATGAACCAGTGCAAGGGAAACTGTACAATACATGAAATTATCACAGACAGTTTAGTTTTAGGTCTCTTTAAATGAGTGTTATAAACACTTAAATATCTTGAGATTAAATGCAATTGTATTTAGTTGAATATCTTGAGATTAAATGCAATTGTATTTAATTGAATATCTTGAGATTAAATACAGTTGAGACCAACCACAATTGTAGAAAATATTTTCAAATGTTCAGTGATTGATGCTTAGCTCTCATTCTCTTGAAGATTCACTTGTATTTAATTGGATATCTTGAGATTAAATACAGTTGAGACTAACCACAATTGTAGAAAATATTTTCAAATTTTCATTGATTGATTCTTAGCTCTCATTCTATTGAAGATTTGGTAGGTCATCTCAAATTTTAATAATGTATCAATCATTTATATGTGTAGAGAGCAAATGTAACCCTTAAAATAGATGAAGAGAAAACACTTTCTGATAGTGACATGTGCATATTTTCAAAGGTCAACTTTATGATTCTCTAATTAGGTAGATGTAATGTTACTAGTAGTATAGTCTGGCCACACCCAAATTCAGGGAGAATGATCAGGAAACTGACCTTGGCAAGCATTCTTCTGAGGAGATCGGAAAAACAGTGGAATGAAGTTGTAAAAACCACAATAGCTGTATTTGAGTCTTTGACCTTGTAAGATTAATTTTCAGATCATAAAATAGAAAGTAAGCTAAATGAGAATACTGAGATGTCAGCTTAATTATGTGACCAGAAAAAACAGGTGTCTAGTCTGTCAGTGCGATTTAAGTATAACTGTAACCGCCCAGAACTCTTAAAAGGATTAAAAAGCACCTGAGGAGTTTATGCTGGTTGAATTTTTGAGTGTGTGGTGTATACTGTTTATAATTCTATTTCCTTACGCGCCAAATAGGACAGATTGTTTCACAATGAACTGTCACATAGTTTTGTGCCCCTCCCCCACCGTTCTGACTTCAGTTAGGCAAACTTTAGTGTCCTGGCTGTCCAGCATCATAGCAACAGTTCTGTTAAGTCTTAGGCATCTCTTTCTTGTATATGACTCTTGAAAATATAAGCCATCAGAAAACTTCCATGCATTCCCATCACCAAATGTGGTATATCTGCACCCACATATTTTTCTTTCTTTGTATTAAAAAGAGAGGTACTGTCTCTGCTGCTATCTAATGACAACTTCTTCACCTTTGCAGACTAGGTCCTTTCCCTTTTCACTTCTCTCAAAGATTTACCTCTGATACGTACCCTCCCCTATTCCTAGATCATCGTTAAAAAAAAATCTTTTCTACTGGATTTTTCCGGTCAACGTACAAACAGAATGTAGCATCTTTTTTCTCAGCCCCTCATGGTCCTCCAACTTGTTTTATTTCTTGCTCCATTTTACAGCAAACTTGAAAGAGTTGTCTGTACTTGCTGTCTCTACAATCATCTGCTCCAATTTTCCCTTGAGTCCCCTTCAGTTAGTCTCTTTCCCCTCTAATTGCCCCGCCCCCGCCCAGTGCTTCCCAGCAATTTCAAATCTCCATCAAGATCACTAATGGCCTCCATATTGCCAAATCCAATGTTCAATTATCAGGATTCATTTTACTCCCTCTCAAAGCAGCATTTGACACAGTGGAGTAGAGGACGCAGAGAGTTAAAAATATAAAAAAATATTAAGACATACAAAAGATACACGGATAATACAGGTTCTTGTGTAATCACCATGAATATGGAAATCTGACATGCCATTTGCTTGCTGACCATCTTCCCACAGCCTTCCATCACACCCTCTGTCAAATCCAAATTCTTTACCATTGTTTTCAAGGCCATTACAAGACCTGCCTGCGTATACCTCTCCTACCTCATCTCTCATTGATCTCCCTTCACACATTAGTCTCCCACCTCACTGGCTACCTGGCCATCCCTCAACATGCCAAGTATGTCCCAGCCTCAGGGCCTTTGAAGTTAGTTCTGCAGCTCAGCTTGGAATGTTCTTCCTTCATGTATCTACGTGGCTTTCTTGTTGACATTTTGGAATCTCTGCTCAGATTTCTGCTTCTCAGGCAAGGCTTCCCTGACCACCTTTTTCTAGCTACTCTGTAACCCTAATTGGGATTAGTTTGTTCTTGTGGTCCTAGTAATTTATGAATTAATGTCTTTTTATTTTTATTTTTAATTTTTTTAAATGTCTATTTTTGACGGAGAAAGAGAGACAGTGCATGAGTGGGGGAGGGGCAGAGAGCGAGGGGGAGACACAGAATCTGAAGCAGGCTCCAGGCTCTGAGCTGTCAGCACAGAGCCTGATGCGAGGCTCGAATTCACAGACCGCGAGATGATGACCTGAGCCGAAGTCCGACGCTCAACCAACTGAGCCACCCAGGCGCCCCAAAATTAGTCTTTTTAATGGATACCTTTTCAATAATCACTCAAATTGTCTTCCAGATGAACAGATTAATGGTTCATTTGTATCAAAGATGTTTCAACATACTCTTATGACCTCCTGTTGGAAATATTCCGGACTGATTTTCAGTTGGTACATAGCTGTGTTGTCAAACCTGTTTTTTAAACATTAAAATTCTGTACTAGTGAGTAGAGAGAAATCCTCTACTTTTTGGGACTGCAAGTCCCCCACTACTGTTGCCCAGTAGAGAAGAGTGATAGGACCTAGGAGAGTGTTGGAGTGTTGGTGTGGAGACAGCTGGTCCCCCAGAGCTGCTGAGGGTACTGAGACAGTGAGGGGTGGTGGCAGTGATGGCTGTGGGAATGCAACACTTGCCCTCCTCCAAGGTGGTCCCAAACTGAATGGGGTGGTAGGTGGATGGTATTGGTGGCATTATTGTTAGCATGGGTGCTCTCTGTCGTTGGTCCAGTCTCTATGGTGTCCAGGAACATACTTGATCACCATGCTCAAATTTTTTCCTGATCTGTCTGGGATGTAACAAGAATAAGGACTTGGGAGTCATGACAATACATTTAATGGAGAAGCTGTTACAAGAGTTTGGTGTGGATTCTTACATCAGATTGTGACTTAGATTGGTGCTTTGTTTATCCAGTGATAGCTGCAGCATATAGAAGATTACACCAGGGACACCTGGGTGGCTCAGTCGGTTAGGTGTCTGACTTTGGCTGAGGTCTTGATCTCGCAGTTGATGAGTTCAAGCCCCACGTTGGGTTCTGTGCTGACAGCTCAGGGCCTGGAGCCTGCTTCGGATTCCATGTCTCCCTCTCTCTGCCCCTACCCCACTCACGCTCTCTCTCTGTCTCAAAAATAAGTGAACATTAAAAACATTTTTTTTAAAAAGATGATACCAACAATTTCTAAAAATTAAAAGATGATTGGAAATTGTTGGAATGAGTTGAATACTTGGAGTTTCAATTTAAATTACTTGACAGCAGTTTTAATATAGGGATCAAAAGGAAATACATTTTTCAGGGTTTGAGTTAGGTGTTAATTTTCATGTACATTATTAATTTTTTATTAGTTGTTTAATATTGTGGATAACATCCTTGACAATTTACCATTAGAAAATTTATATGCTTATATACCTTCTTAGAATAAATTAGCACTACCAAAAATAACTTCCAATAATTCATAAATATCTGTCATTCTTAACATCTTGCTTACAGTACAAATAAATTTCTTTCTCATCTCTTGTCATCACCTTTGTGGAGAGTAATACTAATTTGCCTAATAGTTGGTATAAACATTTATTGAAGGCCTACTACGTGCCAGTTATTTTTCCAGGTATAGGGAAACAGTGATAAACAAGATAAACAATTTCCTTACTCTCCTGAAGCAGTTAATAAACTCTCAACTATAGAAACACTGAAATGCAGTAGAAATACAGAAAATTTGTTGTAATTATTTGAGAAGCAAATGGCTGCTGATGTCTGTTTGCTATGATTTTAGCTTACTTTTGCCATGTCTAGACCACCCGGAAGCCTGGGTCCCTGCTTCAGGGTGCGTCAGGCATGTTTGCACAGGGCATCTAAGTACAACATTCTGTGGACTGTTCTGGCTTCCAGTTTGTTTCAAGGGAGAATTAAAAAGGTGGATGTGATTTATGAATCCCTAAAAGGTTTGAGTCTGGTTTCCTTTCCATTGTTTTGTGGTTCTTAAGACTGACTAGAGTGCTTTGCTGATAATCTTCAAGTTCAAAATCGAAAGACAGGAGGTGGCAGTAAATCTGGGATTTAAATTTCCTTTCCTGGTTCAATTCTTCTAAATTTTAGTTTCATGTAAACTTTTAAAATACATCCATTCGGTTAAAGATTTACTTCCAATCCAAAGGGTGGCTCTTATTCCTGGGATTATGATACACTGAGGCATTTATATTTGTTTTAAGATGTATATATTATTTGTTAAAGTATTGAAATTTGAGACTGTTAACAGCTAACATTTGAGAGCATATTACTTTTCTCACCACTCTGCATATCTCAGCTCCTTTGATTTTCACAATAGTTGTTTGAGGTATTGTAATTATCCCCACTTTGCAAATGAGGAAACAGAAATTGAGGAGTTATGTAACTTGCCCAAGATCACACAAGTTAGTAAGTGGCAGTCAGGATTTGAACCTTGACAGTTAACTCCAGAGCCTGTGCTCATAACCCATCTCATATACGTTACTACAGAGAAAAGTTTGGAAACTCTTGTGCTAGATAGTAGAGATGCTGCTGAGAGGGTATCCAGCCAGCAGCTTCAGAGACTAAACACAGTTGTTGGGCTCCAATCCTGCCATCGTGTTCAGAAAAGCGATTTATTCTTTCTTCCCCCAATCTGATTTTCCACAAAATACAAAATAATCAGCGAATATTTTAGAGTTCAGAGGATATGGTTTAAAATAAAACACAGTGTGAGGTATGATTGAGAAGACTTAGAAGACTGATGATGTTGCTGGTGTTAAATGCACATCAGTATAATAACTTCAAGTTCTGGCTTAAGTGGCTTAGTTGCTGTTTGCTCTTCATTGAGCTTTGAGGGTTTTCTCATTTGTGAACAGGGTAAAATGGTGACCTTGAAGTGCTGTTGGAAGGATATGAAATCATTCATTCATTCATTCATTCAATATATAACTAATATAGTGGGTAAGATTAAAAAGTGATAGGATTTCCATTTTGCATAGCATAGCTGGAGAAGGCCTTTCTGAGGATGTGACATTTGAGCAGAGATGGAAAGAAGAGGAGAAGCAAGCTGTGTGGCTGTCTTGTTGTAGAACATAAAGACCCAGTGGCAGGCGCAAAGGATCTGAGGTGGGAATATGTTTGACATGTTTGAAGAACAGTAGGTCAGTGTGGATCCCTTCAGCTTGTCCTGCAAACACGGAGGGCTTGTGGTAGGAGATGAAGTTGGAGAGATCGGCAGAAGGAATGCACTGTAGGGCAGAGTAAGGGCTTAGTGTAAAAGCCAAAGTATGATAGGAGAATTGGGGAGTTTCGAACTACGATGTGACATGATCAGACTTATGTCATACGGGATCATAAACGGAAGGAGTGAGGGGATTGAGGTAGAGCCTCAATATAAGGCTGCTGCTACTGCTCCCTAGGTTGTATAATAGGCATGAGTGGCTAGGTAGGGTGGTCTTAGCTCTGCTTCTTCCTAGTCGTAGGTCCTTGGGCAAGTGCCCAACTTCTAGGTCTCAGTTTCCTGATCTGTAAAATGAAGATACCCACTCAGAGGGTCACTGAGAGGGTAAAATAAGTTAACACATCTATCTCCTAAAACAGTGCCTGGTGTATATTGGGCTGTGGAGAATGTTTCTTACTTTTAATAATTAATGATATGCATTTAAAATGACTTAAGTTTTATTACTTCAAATATGTGTTTTCTCCCTAAGGCTAAGAACATGAATACAAGAATGAGTTGTCACACATGTAACCCAGAAGAATTCTCTTACCTGACCTCTCACCTGCCACTAAAGGACATGAGAGTTGGTAAGAGCTAGCCATTTGTCAGGAGCTGCATTCTGTCATACCTAGAGAAAAAAACAAAAAGCAGAGTAAGTGAGGGGCGCCTGGGTGGCTCAGTCAGTTAAGCGTCCGACTTCGGCTCAGGTCATGATCTCGCGGTTCATGAGTTCGAGCCCCACATTGGGCTCCGTTCTCACAGCTTGGAGCCTGGAGCCTGCTTTGGATTCTGTGTCTCCCTCTCTCTCTGCTCCTCCCCTGCTTGCACTCTGTCTCTGTCTCTCTCTCTCAAAAATAAATAAACATTAAAAAAAAAAAAGCAGAATAAGTGAGATTTCTATGATGATTCTGCCACATCGCTACAATTTTGGTCACTTAGCAAAGTGTAAAGAATGGTATGGATGATACCTATTCATTTCATAAATGCTTGTTGAGCAATTTTTATGTGCAGCTTCTGTGCTAGGTGATAGTGACATAAAGCCTCACTACTCAGTATGTCCTGGGGACTTAAAGCCTTAGCTTAGTGCTTGCTTCGGCAGCACATATACTAAAATTGGAATGATACAGAGAAGATTAACTGGCCCCACAGCTAGAGGATTAACGAAATTGCAGTTGCTCCATATCTTTAGATATCACCTCACACCAGTCAGAGTGGCCAAAATGAACAAATCAGGAGACTATAGATGCTGGAGAGGATGTGGAGAAACTGGGAACCCCTCTTGCATGTTGGTGGGAATGCAAATTGCGCAGCCAGCTTGAAACAGTGTGGAGGTTCCTTCAGAAAATTAAAATACGATCTATGACAGTTACAATAGCACTCTAGAATTATCCAGGATACAGGAGTATATTGCGCACCTGAAATAATTCACCCCAAATTTGTTTATAGCAGCACCTCAACGAGATAGAAATTATGGAAAGAGCCTTAAATGTCCATCAACTGATGAATGGATAAAGAAATTGATGCTTAATAAAATGGAATACTTATGTGGTACGCATGAGAAAGAAAGAAATATGGCCTTTGTGAAATCGGTGCAACTGGAGAGTGTGGATGCTATGAAATAAGTATCCAGAGAAAGACGATACCATATGGTTTCACTCTGCGTGGGATCCTAAGAAACTTCAATAGAAACCCATGGGGTGGGAAGGAAGAAAAAAAAAAAGAGGTTAGAGGAGAGAGCCAAAGACATTGGAGACTTCTAAAAACTGAGAACAAACTGAGGGTTGAGGGGTGAGGAGGGAGGGTGGGTATGTTGGTATGAGAGGCAACCTTTGGGATGACCGGCCAGTGGCTGGAAACCATGGACAATAAATTTTATATATTAAAAAAAAAAGCCTTAGCTTAATTGAAGCCTTGTAAGTCATGCAGAATCTCAGGCCTCACCCCACACTTATGAATCAGAATCTGTATTTTAACGTAGGACTTTAGGGTGATTGAGCGAAGGTAAAGTTTATAGTGCTAACTGGAAAGATTCACAAGAGTATTGTCCATGAGAGACTGAGAACCAAATGAAAATGCCCAAAGCTCAGCAAGTTAGAGTGAATGACATGTGCCTTCATAAGGTTTAGGTACAAAATTCTCCTTTAAGGGGTCACCATTTCTAGGTCAGTGGTTCTCAACCTGGTGTCACCTTCAACTAACCCCAGAAAGTCTGATTTTTAAAAATGGGTCTTCCTAAGAGACTCTTAAAAACAGAATAAACTGAGGGTTGATGGGGGGTGGGAGGGAGGGGATAGTGTAGGGGTACTGGGATTGAGGCAATGCACCGTTGGGATGAGCCCTGGGTGTTGTATGGAAACCAATTTGACAATACATTTCATATTTAAAAGAAATAAAAATGGGCCTGGTGGGCAGGCTAGAATCAGAATTCTTTTAAAAGCTCCCCACATGTGCAAAGATGTACGAAGGGGCATAGGTTGTTCTGGGAATCCTTTTTAGATCATTTTTTGTTGGGGCTTAAGGTGCATGAAGGTTGGGATGAATGAAGGAGTGGTAAAAGATGAGAAAGGGTGGTGGGGATAATGAGGAAGGGGGTTAGGGCCATTTTCCAAAAACCTTAAATTTAATGCTCAGTGAGGAGTTCTAAGAAATTTTTAGGCAGGCAAAGTACAGGCACACATTTCCTGTTGAATGAGTTTTCTGGTGGACGGTGTCAGGGATGGATCTATTGATTCCAAAGTGGGAACTGAGAGGTGAGTCAGACTGATGGGGTGGGTTTTTTGTTGCTGTTGTTTTGCTTGCTTTTTTTCTAGTCCAGTTTATTAAAGCATAGTTTACATATAGTAATATTCATCAGTTTTAGTGTGTAGTTTTGTCAACAACAGACAGTCGTGAAACCAACACCCACAATCAAGACATTTTGGAGATTGATCAGAAGACCATTATAACATCTAGGTGAGAAATGATGTGACTTTAAACTGAGTCAATAATGGAAAGAATGAGGAAAGGAGTCGTTAAGTATTTAAATGAGAGAATTATCAGCGTGGTGGCTGATATAATGGAGAGGATTAAGAGAAGATATGCCAAGTTTTCTAGCCTGGGCAGTTGCAGAATCCATTCACTGCGATAGGGAAGGTAGGAGAGGATTCAAGTTAGGGGCAGTATAATGAATGTTATGTGATTCTCTTATCCAAGATTTCTGTGTAGGGAAAGGTATTTATTGAATAAACTTGTATATATACTGCCTTATGATTATCCTACCCCCAACCCCTTCCCCTGCAAAATCCTACCTGATAGTATGGAATCCTTGAGTGGGCTTTTGACGGGTATGCAGTATCTAATACACACCCTTTGTACTCGATTTGACTGATGTGAGACAGCCATAGGTAGTGTTGAAAAACAGTGGTGCCAGTAATACTTGTAATAGTAGTATTAGAGATCTGATAACCTAACACCACTTTCCCCATCCAGATTGTGAGTCAACTGAGTATGGGATAAGAAGTTGCCAGGTGGAGGTGAAAATACTTGTTTTATTATGGATGCAGTATAAGGAATGTGGCTTATGTCTATGGACAAGTGACTTCCTAACACTGAATCCCAGAATTGAAAGGTTTACCCACACAACAGCAGGACTGAACCAGAGCGAGTCTTTTTCCTTCTTCCCAAGGGCAGAGCCTATCCTAGGAGTAGCAAGTAGAACAGAACCGGAAAGTCCAGGGGAAAAGTGATTGACTAAAGTACGTAAAGCAATTTTGGGAGTCTTATGCGAATTGTTGTCCTTCTACGTAGAAGGGAACGTTAGGAATAATACATATGTTGTTCTTACAAGACAGAACTATAATAAAATACTGAAACATCTCAAAATAATGAAAGAGAGTCACAGATTCTTGAGAAGGAATGATGGGCAATCAGCAAGGAAGTGAGTCTTTGAATATCCTAATTCAAAGAGTCCAGTAACTCTATCTCAACCCAAAGGGACAATATGCACAACCTCAAAATATTCTGTTTGTGAGTATGTTGGAAAATGCTATTGTTGCATTTCTATCTTTTTAGCCTCAGTACAGTGTGACTAAGCTCTTGTGAGGGCTCGTATATGTATGTGTATGTGTGTATGTATATGTATACATATATATATTTTATTTTAATTCCAGTATCATTAACATACAGTGTTAATGAGGACGTCTAAATTCTTGCTTCTCACTTTATTCTGTTTGAGTAGAGGCGAGTGAAGATGTTACCTGCCTTATGATAATGATACTAGCATATACATTCACATATGATCCACAGAATAATGCAGGATTGGTATTTTTCTGGTGCTGTTACCTAAATGAGTTTAGCCCTTGAAGCAATTGACTTAACATAGGATTTCAAGTCTTGAGGTTTGAAGATATTTAGGTGTCAGTTGGACCAACTCTGAGTTTATAGCTTGGTAAGATAGTACCACATTTATGGAAGTTGCCTCTGATTACACAGGGAACTGGTGGACTGTGGGACCACTAGAACCCATGCCTCCAATTTCTTTTTCCTACACGCACCCTGGAAAAGATGGCATTGGGAAATAAAACACTCTGTGGCTATACTAGACCACATTGCTGTTGGCCAAAATAACTGGGTTCTGGTTGATTTCCATTCTTCAGCTTTTCAAATAATATTTTTTAATTTCTGTAATAAAGGAAAAATTAAGTTCTCTGAAAATTTAACTGTGATACAAGTCTTTCCATTTTATTCATTTCATAAAAGAAGAATCTGAAGTTATTGTGACATTGAGAGGCCCTGAATTCTTAGTCTTTTTTGGGTCATATAAATAGCACTAGTTAAATGTAAAAAATGAATCTTGAACCAGACAACCGAAGCCAGAGATGGAAGAAATTGTATTCAGAAGAGCAGGACAATTGGTTGAAAGCCCATACCTGCTTTATCTGTCATTATCAAGTATGCTAGATATACATATCCTTTTGACTAAATCTAAGAAGCTGAGTGATTATGTCTGTGTAAATTTAACATTTTATTAATTCTCTGATATAATAGTAGAAACAGTAACTGATAGAATGTAAATTATTTTTCCAGGTAGGTAAGTCTGATGTGCACCTTCTAGAAAATATTAGGAAAAAATGTTTAGGTAGAGTTTATATCAACCAAAATATCCTACTATCCAAAGATAACCCTTGTTAAAATGTTGGTGTGTGTGTGTGTGTGTGTGTGTGTGTGTGTGTAACAACATATTTTTTATTCTTTTTACAACAGGAATGTATATTCACCATGGGAAGTTTAGAGGCTATAATTAGAAGAAAATAAAAATCATAATTTGAGAACTGCTTCAATATATATACCATAATTGTAAAAAAATTCTATTCTATTCCTTTACTTTTTCTTATTTTTAAATGTTTTATCTATTTATTTTGAGAGAGAGAGAGAGAGAGAGAGAGAGCAAGCATACAAGTGGGGAAAGAGGCAGAGAGAAAGGGAGAGAGAGAATCCCAAGCAGTCTAGGTGCTATCATCCCAGGCCCAATTCGGGACCTGATCTCACAAACCAAACCATGAGATCATGCCCTGAGCCAAAATCAAGAGTCAGATGCTTAACCCATTGAGCCACCCAGGCATCCCTCCCTCCTTTGAATGTTTAAGATGTTAAGACAATATTTTAAGCATATGAATGATACTTTGGCTCTGTAGAAATAACTATCAGGTTTAAAACTTGAGGAAAAATAAGTATGTTGTATTTTGACTTCTCATATTTGGACAGTTTCAAGAGGGATGGATTAGTTAACAATTTGCAGAGGGTTTAATGTACTAAAACTTAACAAAGACCCCTGAGTTTGGCATAGGGGAGGAGTGAGAAGCAGCCAGACTGTAGAGGCTTAAGAAATTGGGGAAGAATGGTAGCATATGTACACCACTTGTGCGTGCCATGTGTCAACAAATAGCAGTTGAAAAATAAGAATAGCTTAGTGCAGGGTTCAGATTTGGGACACTAAGTTCAAAGAAATACTATTTTAATGATGAGTGGATATTTTCAAAAATTTTTAGTGAGTGATGAGGGAACTAGTGGAGAGAGAAATTCATGATGCTATGAGGTAATCCTAGTATCTCCATTCCAGACTTAAAGATAGAATTCACTTAAGGCCCTCTGACCCCCATTTGGATCTCAGGACATTTATATTCACTAGGCATTCATTCAGCAAGAATTTATTATTAAAAAATTTTTTTTAATGTTTATTCATTTTTTTTAAAGAGAGACAGAGTGTGAGTGTGGGAGGGGAAGACAGAGAGGGAGACCCTGAATCTGAAGCAGGCTCCAGGCTCTGAGTTGTCAGCACAGAACCCGATGTGGGGCTTGAACCCATGAACTGTGAGATCATGACCTGAGCCAAAGTCGGACGCTTAACCGACTGAGTCACCCAGGCGGCCCTCAGCAAGAATTAAGTGAGGAGCTTGTAAGTCTGAGTGCTAAGGGGACAACCATAAACCTAGATAGCATAAATAAGATATGGTTCCTTCTAAGCTTAATAAATGAATATTCTACAGATGGTATAAGAACTCTTTCCTCTTTACCATTAGAAGTCACCTTAGAAGCACTCATGTTGGCTCTGTCTTGAGTCATTTTTATGGACCTGTTTTTGTTGTTGTTTTTGTTCATAATAGTGTGGTTTTGGTGGTTTCTGCCTCTTGAGTTTCAGTTCTTGCTCTGTATCTTGCAAGTTACATATTCCTGAGCAAGTTACTTAAGCTAAATCTTCTACTCTGTACATGAGCATAATACCCATTTATTAGAGTTATCGTAAGAATTAAGTGGATAATAAATGTACGGTATGAAACCTAATACCTGGTTCATCACAGGCTGTCAGTAAATATTAGCTATTGTGATGAAGATGGTGGTAATGGTGACGAGGATTCCTTGGATTCTTGATTTGTTGTTTTCTACCTAGTTCTGTCCAATCAATGTGATGTGGCAAGAAGAACAGATAGAGGTAGAGACAGAGAGACATTAGGAAATAAGAAGTTGACTGATTTAGAACGGGTGGGATCAAAACAAGACTTGCCAAGTCCTACCCGTTGTTGGAAGGAGGTCACCCAACCAATGATGGCTTTTGGAAAGATAACTTGGTTTCATGGAAAAAATATTACACTGTCTCATTAGTCTTGAATTTCAATTTGAGGTCCTCAGTCATTAGTTATTGAAAGAGTTAATGGATGTGAAGTACCTAGAACCGTGTGTTGTACGCAGAAAGCACTTTACAAATGCTTGTATCATTACAAACTGTTATCATTCATTCATTTAGTTTTCCCGTGATCTAAGAAATATTTAGCGAGAGCCTACTAGCTGCCAAGTTGCCTGCTAGATATGCTGGGTACAGGGTGAACTAGATAAAGAGTTGCCATTATGAAGATAAGGTTCTAGCAGAGGGGAGATTTGCTATTCTTGGTCAGGTCTCTAAGCCCTCTGCGTTGTGAAGTTTTCATCAGTAAAATAAAGTTTGGCTCTAAAATCTTACAATAGTATCATCCAATGACACTATTTTCTTGGCTGAATATATGCTGATTATTTATTTATATATTAAATACCTATTGATACCTACTGCATATCGGCACTGTGCTAGGTGCTAGGAATATAGTAGTAGCCAGAGAAGACCCAGTGCCTGCCCTCATGGAGCCTTAAGTCCAAAACACAAGGCATGGGTTGACTAGGTAATTGTGAGCTTGATTAGTCTTATGGAGGGCAAAATGCTAGGCTTGTGATTTATGTGACAGAAAGCATATATATGTATGTATATATATATGTGTGTGTGTGTGTGTGTGTGTGTTATTCTTGATGGAAGGGCCATTATAGAGCATTAATACAGCTTTTTTTGAGTTTTGTGAGTTTATGTTCTCCATTTTGTGAGTTTATATTTTTGTGAGTTTATATCTTGTTGTCTGCTTAAACAGGAGCAACTGGACATCATGGAGACAACTTGGTAGAGAAGATCATTTCAGTGCTTCCCCAGCTCCCGGGCCACACCAACGATGTGATGGTTAACATGGTAGAGCTTACGGCACTCCAGAATGAAGAGAAGAGTCAGAGTATGGTTGCGCCAGGCTGTCTTGCACAACCCAAGTAAGATAAACAGGGATTGTTGTTTGTTTGTTTGTTTTCCCTCATCCTTCTCTCTCTTCCCCTTTCTTTTTTTGCTGAGACCAACTGTTTTTGTAGGAAGGAAACAATGAAGAGTTGGACTGGTTGAAAAACTCATAGCGGATAGCCTTTCGAAAAAAGCATTTTTTCCCCTAACCTTGAAATAACCATATCCATTAAACAACACTAAGGCAAAAACTACGGAGGTATCATTTGCAGAGGTGTCATTTGGATATAATTGAAGTTTGTTCTGAGGATAGGTTAAGTGAATCAATTTATACATCTCCATTCCACAGGCAGTTTCACTTGGAAATGAGTCCAGCCTTACTCAATTTCTTTTTCCCAGTGGACGTTTTCACATGACTAGATAATAGCCCACAAAGCTATGAAACGGCGCCATCTTTATGCATGTCAACAATATGCTCTCAGACATCATTGACAGAAGTTTCTACTCCTATGTATGTTTTTCACATGCTTAGAGAAATCAGTAACAGAAGATGGTGTACTTTATGTTATGCAGCGTTTCAAAAACAAAAAAAACCATTTCTCTAGAAACATGACAATAAAAGGATAACAGTAGTTTTACCTCCTCTACTTTGACCTTCAATAATTCCTATGAGAAAAAAAAAAGGTACTAGAAGGTGAAAAAGTGTCTGCGAATCTGTTTCCCTTATTTCTCTGTTTTTAATTTTTTTTTAAAAAGAGGATCTTGTGCATTATTGTTTGAAATCTTAACAGTAACAGATACATTTGGAATTTCCTATCATATCTGGAATTAATTTTCAGCTCCTGAAGTTTTCAGCTTTTTTTTTTTTTTTTAGATAATTAATAACATTTATTGGATGCCTGGTGTGTATAGGCCAGTGTGGGGAAAAAACAGAAAGTTCTATACCCTGCCTTTTTGTATACTTAAAAAATATAGGCCACATGCTCGCTTTGGCAGTGCGTATACTAACACGTAAGCCTGTGGGCTTGCAGCTATATAAATCCAGAAGAAATTGTGATTGGAAATATTTTTAGCTGGTCATAGGGCCTATTCAAAAGTTGCTCATTAAGAACTTACTATGAGCCTTGTCTGAAGTAAGTAATATGAATAACATAAAATAACATAAAATATCATCCTTGCCTTTAGGGGATACGTTCCTTGTTGGGGTAGTCATTTTTACACACAGGTTCAATTAAAAAAAAAAAATAGAAATTATATGAACTCAAGACTCAGGTGTCTGTTACAGATTGTAAATACTACCAAGTATTGGTTCCACACGGTCTTTGTAGATCCATGTGGACCTTGTGGAAGTGGTTTAGTTTGACTTAATTGTGTCTTGAAGAATTTAGAGAAAGAGAAGGGCTAACGTGAGCATAGGTTTAGGAACGACAACGGTCAGGGCCTGATGTGGGTGTGAGGAAGGAAGACAATGTCAGCGGACCACCAGTGCCATCAGCATTAATATTTTCCAGGACTTACCATGCGCCAAGTGCACTTCTGGGTATTTTGGGAAGTCATTTAGCTTTTATAATAACTAGTGAGGTCGGTGTTGTTATTTCCCCATTTTACAGGTAAGGAAATAGAGGCAAAGAGACCTTGAGTAACATCATTAGCAGGAGGTGGAGCTAGAATTTTGAGCCCAGAATATTTGGCTTCAGAGCCACAGTCTTAACGTCTGGACTGCCTATGCAGGGGCCAGAGAGGAGCTAGGCTCACGAGTAGATTTAAAGAGACAGAAACAAAAATCAAGTTACTTGATGATTTAATTTGGAGAGTCCTATTCATTCAACATAGCAGTTACACTAAGAATATAATCCATTTTGGCTAATTTGAGCAGAAAAGGAGTTCCAGGGGGTCTAGAACTTGGAAAAAGCCTCTTCAGTGCCTTCACATCAGAGAGACTGACCTTTAACTGTTTTGTCATGAGTCATTCTGTTTAAGATTCAGATTCCAAGGGAAAAGGTGAGATTGACCTCCCTTGGACCTTGTGCCCACCCCTTCCTCAGTGCGGGACTGGGAGCAGTTCAGGCTGGCTGAGAATTATGCCAACATTGTATGTGGCACAGTGGAAGGGTAGTTCTTCGAAGGAAAATGGAAACATTTATCGAAAGAAGGGGAAAGGGCTATAGGCAAGCAGAAGCAGTAGATGCCGTTGAGTATTAATAGCACACACTTATATGGGACTTCCTGGGTAACAGGCATTGTTCTGATCCCTTTATATGTAGCGGCTGTCTAATTCTCACAGCCTCTCTGGAGGTGGGTTCTACTACCATCCCCTTTTACAGATGAGGAACATCCTAGGGTGACACACACAGTTAGAAGTGGTGGGGACCATATTGGAACCCCAGCAGTCCAGCTCTGAAGTCAGTGCTTGTCATTACCCTGTGCTGCCTCCACAGAAGCCTAAAATAACCACAAAAAGATCAAGTGAGCAGCCCAGAGAAGTTTGCGAGAAAAGAGAAGAGGCGAATCTATCATTAATGAGCAGGAAGAAAGCAAATTTCTGACAAGTGTCGTAGGACAAATGTAAGAATCTCTTAGATCTGAAAGTTATGTTGTGATTATGGACAATTTATTTACCCTTGACTCCTCGGCACTCATTCTGTCTCAAGCTTAGTCCAAGGCTTAGACCAAACCAGTCTTAGAACCCCATTTCCCTTGCTGAGAAATGGGGAGGTAACAAGAGAGAAAGTCTTCTTAGGGCTTCTTGGTCAGGTTTCTTTGCTTCTGATAAGAGACTCAAGAAAGAGGCATGCTTTCCCCTCCTCCTCCCACTCCTCCCCCAACTCCTAGGACTCTGATGTAAGTCCTGAAACTGTCGAGGCATTCTGCTGACAACCTGAAATTGACGCTAACACATGGAAGGTGGCATGACCCCAATGTTGCCGAGAAAAGCAGGGATGGGATGCCGTGTCTGGACTTCATATTATGTAGGAGAGTGTACTTCCTTATTGTTTATGCCAAATTGAGTCTCTGTTTTCTGTAACTTGCAACCAAAGGCATCCTGACTGATGTATTTTTTTGGACCTCATTATTTCATCTATAAAATGATGATGTTGGCCTAAATGACTTCCAAGCCTCTTGGTTTTAAAGCGTTTTTAAAAAAACATTTATTTATTTTTGAGAGAGAGAGAGAGAGAGAACCAGGGAGGGGCAGAGAGAGAGGGGGACAGAGGATTCAAAGCAGGCTCTGTACTGACAGCAGAGAGCGCGACACAGGTCTCGAACTCATGAACCATGAGATCATGACCTCAGCCAAAGTTGGACGCTTAACCAACTAAGGCTCTTGGTTTTAAAATAAAAATGGTTCCAGAGGAAGATGGCGGCGTAGGAGGACGCTGGGCTCACTGTGTTCTGCTGATCACTTAGATTCCACCCACACCTGCCTAAATA